TTTTAGGTGCAAAATTTAAGGGAGAGACAAGTGAGCCAAAAAGCTGAGTAATGGAACTGAACATTTGTTTCTGTAAAACTTTTAAATGTGTCTTACATTTTTATGAAACACATGTGAATAAGTAATTTTACATTTCAAAAAAGATTAATGATATTTTAATGCTATATTTTTTAAAAAATTGCAGAATGCATACTTATTTTAGTAAACAGATTTTTATTGGAACAAGAGCCAGACAGAGGGAGAGCAATCAAAGCAGAGTCTTTCAAGTACAGGGTCAGGTCCTCTCTTTTTAAAAAATATGTATCTTTTGTTCATTATAGATTTTCATTCTTTTAAAGACTATTCATCTTTTTTTAATATTTATTTTTTAGTTTTCGGCGGACACAACATCTTTGTTTGTATGTGGTGCTGAGGATCGAACCTGGGCCGCAAGCATGCCAGGCGAGCATGCTACCACTTGAGCCACCCCCAGCCCAAGACTATTCATCTTGATCATCAAGTTTTTCAATGCTTCCCTATGTTTTGCCTCACCCTGGCCCTGCTACTGTGATTTTCTGTTGTCCCAAAGTAAGATCCTCTGATCTTCTGTCTCGGATGCTGGAGTGGAATGTTCAGATGACAACAGATATCAGAGTTCCCAGAGCTGAGGCAGGGCTACTGGGCTCCATACACAGACTATGACATCATTCAGCCCCAGCTGGCATGTCACCTCCAAGGTGCCTGCTGCCTCCAGGTCTTGCATCTTCCCAAGGTTCTGTGGGGTAAATTGACTTTTCTCAGCTTGGCCCAAAGACTTTAGCCTTCTCTGGTCTGCTCTGTCACCTACTACTCATCTGTCTCCTTTCCATTTTCCTAACCTTCTTACATACTTAAACACTGCTGGTGTCTCCTTTCAGCTTTCTTTGCTTTGTAGGTTCTATTCCTTTACTTTTGGTTTAATGGGAGCATTCAGCTGCCATATTCAACCAATGGAAGCTGGCTGGAAGCCTCTCTCTCTCTCTCTCTCTCTCTCTCTCTCTCTCTCTCTCTCTCTCTTTGCATAGTTGCAGTTTTTTCTCTATTGTCTTTGCATAGTTTCCATTTCACTTTTTCCAGGATGGGTGGTTTTTATTTATTTGTTATACCACAGGGACAGCAAATTTTGAGGCTAGGGGTGTAGCTCAGTGGTAGAACACCAATGTAACATGTATGAGGCTCTGTGTTCCATCCCCAGCAATGGAGGGGGGAAAAGAGTGAATTCTCACTTCATCTGGGATCAGATTCCCACTGATATCCTTTTGGACCTGAGACTTTTGGTAGTCAGAGGCATAGGTGTGGCCAAAAAGAAGAACTTGGCTGAGGAAATGCAGCTCTTGCTGCCTCTTTGGGCTCTGCTCTCTCTAGGATCCACATGGATGTTATGAGCTGGGGTTCACTCTACTGGGCATTGTTACATGGTGCTCCCCTGGATTTCATCTGAGCACCTAGGAAAATAAGCACTACCAACTCTATGGTCCTGCATAGAATGGAATGTGAAGGCTTGAACAAGCAGTGATTTCTCCTTAACTTCTTCTTCTTCTTTTTTTTAGTACTGGAGTTTGAATACAGGGGTGGTTAACTACTGAGCCACATCCCCAAACTCTTTTTATTTTTATTTTTTGAAACAGGGTCTCTCTAAGTTGCTGAAGCTGGCCTTGAACTCAAGATCCTCCTGCCTCATCCTCTGTAGTGGCTGGGATTACAGGTGTGTGCCATCAAACCTAGCTCTCCTCAACTTCTTGGCTAGCTACCTCCTCACTATTTTCCACTGTTGCCACTCATGTACTTGTCCAATTCATGCTTTTGGTGTTTGACAACTAATGTTCTTACCTCAGTCATCTTTTTTGGAAGAGTGACACTAGAAACCTCAAGCTATTCACTCAGAAATCTCTTGTGGAGTGTTCTATTGATTTCCATGGCCCATAATTTAAGTTACTTCCAACTCTCTGGGAGGTTATTTTCATCCTGAAAACTTTGCATGAATCTCAAAAGGCTCCTTTCTTGGTCTCTAGCGGCCCCTAGAGGTTTTTCTCCTCAATTGCTCTGATTTGTATCAGAGAATTATATTTGAAATTAAATGTGGAGACCTTACTTAGAGGATAGGGAGGCCACACAGAATTGCCCTGCCCTCTGGGACTCCCTGAAGTATTCACCTAAAGATGTCTCACCTACCAGTGGTACTATTTTTATCAGACAAAGGGAAGGGTCAGGAATCTGTCCTTACCCTGACATGTTCCCCATAGAACTCTTTAAAAACTAATGTTTCATTAATTTATAGACAAAAGTTGTAATAGGGATCTGAAAAACACTAACTCAGTCTGATGATAAAGATCCACATCAACAGGGAAAGCCAGGTTGATAGCATGTATTCTTGAGACAGGAGAGCACTTCACCAATATGATCTTCCTCCCCTAAACCCATGACCCCAGTCTGATTTTGACAAAAACAATAGACAAGTCCAATTGAGGGGCATTTTAATAACCATCCTCTTTCCCATCTTAATTTTTATCCATGGTACTTTCCACTATTGAACATTCTATCTTTCAACATCCATTCCAAATTGGCAGGCATTTTCACTTGTTTTGTTATTTGCTGCATTTCTAGCATGAAAAAGATCCTGAAATAAAATTCACATTTAATAAATGTTTGTTAAATTAGCGAATAAACATAGAATTGTCTTATCCCTTGTAATTGCTACATGGTACTCCACCATAGCAATATACATATTTCAAAATGTCCCGCTATATATCATAAATATATACAACTTTTAGTTGAAAATTTAAATAAATAATTTTTTACATTTGGTACTAGGGATTTAATTCAAGGTTCTTTACCACTGAGCTATGTCTCTAGTCCTTTCTTTAGTTTTTATTTTGAGACAGGGTCTCTCTAAGTTGCTGAGTTTGACCTCAAACTTGTGATTCTCCTGACTCAGCCTCCTGAGTCACTGGGATTACAGATGTGCACACCACAACTGGCTAAAAACATAATTGTTTTGAATCCACTCCTCTTGTCTTAAATCCCTGGCTTCCTTTGAGTCCTTTACATTTATATGCTTGCTAAGATGAGGGTTGGAAAATGACCATTGAATGGGGCAATATGGAAATACTGAGAACCTCAGCAATATTATCTGTTAGTTCCCTGCTATGTGCTACCCCAATCCTCTTGGTCCTTCCTCTTACTCTGGACTCTGCTGTTGTAAGCAGTTCTATGCAAGCTTCAACCAACTTCCCAAACTTGAAACCTGATGTACTTTGTCTCAGCCTATGTTACAACTCCCTTGATTTCCATCCCAGGGTTGCTCTAAAGGCACCGCATAGGGAACTCACTGGGATATACTCAGGGCCTTTGCATATGCTGTTACCTTTGACTGAAACATTCTTTTGACCTCAATATTGCTGTATTTTAAAAATAACTACATGTGTCTGGAAATATCTGAGAGTTCTGCTTCATTTCAATTTTCATCTCATAAGGAGCTGGCTTTTCCTTGACTGTTTGAAGTGGGCAGTAATTATTGACCCTCAGAATAATCAACATCCACATCAAAAATCTTTTGTAACCTAGTCAGGGTATAACGGTGTTATTGCATCAACTCTAAATTGTAGGAGAATTTCACAAGAAGGAACTTTGGGTTTAACTCATAATAAAGACAGTCTTGAGTTGGGCTTTAGTGAAAATTCTACTTTGGTAAAGTTGGTCTCTAGGTCCAGTAAAATAAGATTTTTAGAGTACTCTTAAGCATAACCTCTGATGAAACCACATTAATCTGCTCATTGCAAATAGTTACCAAAAGTAATACTTCCAGCTCTTCTATCTTAAGAAATGTGCACAAATATTGAGGCACTCTACTGAGTGTTGCAGAAGATGCATGAAAGCATAAAGCACCATGTCTTCCTTACAGAAGTTTCAAAATTAGCAAATAGCTGTTGATGTCACCATTTGCATGAAAAGGGACATATGAGTAGTAGTTGTTCCATTAACATTTTTTTGAGTGCTATTTATACTTGAGGCTGTTATGGCACAAGGATTTCGAAAGAAAATCATGCAGCATGATGGCTAGTTGTGACAAACAAACAACCAAACAAACAAAAAACCTATTTGGGAATCAGAGTGGCTCAAGTCCCAGTACTACAATGTATCATCCTCTGAAAGTTATTTAAGTCTCAGAGTTTATTTCTTCATCTGCAGAATATGGATAATAAATGAAACCTACCTCATTGTGCTCCTGTGAACCTTAACATGGGTGAGGAAGTTTTTAACACAAAACCTGGCACTTTGTTTTGTTATTTTTATCAGCATAAGATGTACACTTTTGGGCTGGGGATATAGCTCAGTTGGTAGAGTTCTTGCCTCACATGTGCAAGGCCCTGGGTTCAATCCCCACCACCACACACACATACACACATGCTCACACAAAGATGTACACTTTCCAGTCCTGTGTGGAGATAAGAGAACTTGATATGTATCATCATCAGAGAGGTATGGAAAAATAGTGGGAAATGACAGTAAGAGAGATTGTTGGCAATGATACTGGCTTAAGTATCTTAGGTGATATCACATTAGAAACTGGATCTGATCACTACTTTGAGGCTGGAAAATTTTCATCAAGAGTTGTGTCAATAGGTTGATGCTATAAATACACAGGTGCTATGCTATAGCCTTAATATGAACCAGAGCCGTGATCCAGCTGAGACTCAATATGGTAGTGGGGCATCTTGGTAATTGCATCTGCAAAAACTTCTTACTGCCTTAATCTCATATAACTTCATTTTCAACTGCTTTTAGTACCCTGAAGCTGAACACAGTAAAAAAGTAAAATCATTTGGAACCTCATTTAAGGCAATTTATTTAACTTTTAAGAGAACTTCCAGTTCAAACTCATATAAGTATGAGGAAGAATTGTTAATTTCATGATGAAATGCCCAGCAAATGTTGCTATTCTAAAATTGTGTTTCTACATTTGATTTTTCCTTTAGGAAAAGATGTCCTTCTGGTCTTCGATTCTGATCTGCCTTTTCCTGCTTATCTCTGATTCCTGTGAGTTCTTTGCTGAATCGAATTACTCCAGGAGCTATCCTTGTGATGAGAAAAGGCAAAATAACTCCATTATTGCAGAATGTGACAGCCGTCAACTGCAAAAAGTTCCTCAAACAGTGGGCAAATACGTGACAGAACTCGACCTGTCTGATAATTTCATCACACACATAACAAATGAATCATTTCCAGAGCTTCCATATGTCACTAAAATAAATCTAAACCACAATGCCAATCAAGAGCACTATAATGAAAATCCTGATATGAATAAAAATGGCATGAATATTACAGATGGAGCATTCCTCAATCTAAAAAACCTACAGGAGCTACTGCTTGAAGACAACCAGTTAGAGAGAATACCCTCTGGTTTGCCAGAGTCTTTGAGAGAACTTAGTTTAATTCAAAACAATATAATTTCAATAACTAAGAATGACACTTTGGGACTTATGAACTTGGAAAGTCTCTATTTGGGCTGGAACTGCTATTTTGTTTGTAGTGAAACATTTTACATTGAAGATGGGACATTTGAATCCCTTACAAACTTGAAGGTGCTGTCACTGTCTTTCAACACTCTTATCCATGTGCCACCCAAACTACCCAACTCCCTTCGAAAACTTTATCTGAGTAACACCAAGATCAAAACTATCGGTCAAGAAGACTTCAAGGGATTGGTAAATTTAAGATTACTAGATTTAAGCGGGAACTGTCCAAGATGTTTCAATGCACCTTTTCCTTGTACACCTTGTGATGGAAATGCCGCGATTGAGATACATCCTCTTGCTTTTCAAAATCTGACCCAGCTTCTCTACCTAAACCTCTCTAGCACTTCCCTCCGGAAGGTTCCTTCCACCTGGTTTGACAATATGCACTACCTGAAGGTGTTGCATCTCGAATTCAACTATTTAGTGCAAGAAATGGCCTCTGGGGAATTTTTAACAAAGCTGCCCAATTTAAAAATACTCGATTTATCTTTTAACTATGTAAAGACAGAATATTCACAATATATTACTCTTTCTGAAAACTTCTCTAAACTTCAGTCTCTCAAGGCACTGCATTTAAGAGGTTATGTGTTCCAGACACTCAGAGAAGAAGATTTCCGACCTCTGATGGTTCTACCACAACTACGAACTATCAACTTGGGGATTAACTTTATTAAGCAAATTGATTTTACCCTTTTCCAAAGATTCCCCAAACTGGAAATTATTTACTTGTCAGAAAACAGAATATCACCATTGGTAAGTGATATCAGGCAAACTCCTACAAATGATTCCTCTTTGCAAAGTCATACCATTAAACGACGCTCCATGGATGCCAAGTTTGACCCACATTCAAATTTTTATCATAACACCAATTCTCTAATGAAGCCACAATGTACTGGTTATGGCAAAGCCTTGGATTTAAGTTTAAACAGTATTTTCTTTATTGGTAAAAACCAATTCAAAGGTTTCAGTGACATTGCCTGCTTAAATCTCTCTGCCAATGGCAATGGCCAAGTATTTAATGGAACTGAATTTTTAGCTGTGCCTCAGGTCAAATACTTGGATTTGACCAACAATAGACTAGACTTTGATGATAACAATGCTCTCCGTGAACTGTCCCACCTGGAAGTTCTAGATCTCAGCTATAATGCACACTATTTCAAAATAGCAGGGGTAACACATCGTCTAGGATTTATCCAAAATTTGACACAGCTCAAAGTTTTGAACCTGAGCTACAACAGCATTTATACTTTAACAGAGGAGAAGGAACTGAAGAGCATGTCCCTGAAGGAATTAGTTTTCACTGGAAACCGCCTTGACCTTTTGTGGAACACCAAAGACAACAGGTACTGGTCCATTTTTAAATGTCTCAGGAACCTGACACGGCTGCACCTGTCTTCTAATAACCTCCAGAATATCCCAAATGAAGCATTCCTTAACTTGCCAAACAATCTCACTGAACTGTACATAAATAATAATCTGTTAAATTTCTTTAACTGGACACTACTCCAGAAGCTTCCATATCTCCTCTTGCTTGACTTAAGTGGAAATGAGCTGTCCTCTTTAACTAACAGCCTATCTAAATCTACACCTTCTCTTCAGACACTGCTGCTGAGCCGGAACAAGATTGCCCACCTTCCCTCTGGCTTTTTTTCCGAAGCCAGCCATCTGGTGCACCTCGATTTAAGTTTCAACTTGATAAAAATGATCAACAAATCCACACTTCAGACAAAGACTACTACCAATTTAGCTCTTTTGGAACTAGGCAGAAACCCTTTTGACTGTACCTGTGACATTGGAGATTTTCGAAGTTGGATAGATGAGAATCCAAATGTCACAATTCCTAGATTGATAGATGTCATTTGTGCCAGTCCTGGGGACCAGAGAGGGAAGAGCATTATGAGCCTAGAGCTGACAACATGTGTTTCAGATACCATTGCAGCCATACTCTTTTTCTTCACGTTCTTTATCACTACCATGGTTATGTTGGCTGCCCTGGCTCACCACCTGTTCTACTGGGATGTCTGGTTTATCTACCATATGTGTGTTGCAAAGATCAAAGGTTACAGGACTCTTTCCACATCCCAAACTTTCTATGATGCTTACATTTCTTATGACACCAAAGATGCCTCTGTTACTGATTGGGTAATCAATGAGCTGCGTTACCACCTTGAAGAGAGTGAAGGGAAAAATATTCTCCTTTGTCTACAGGAGAGGGACTGGGACCCGGGGTTGGCCATCATTGATAACCTCATGCTCAGCATAAACCAGAGCAAGAAAACGATATTCATTTTAACCAAAAAATATGCCAAAAGCTGGAATTTTAAAACAGCTTTCTACTTGGCATTACAGAGGCTAATGGATGAGAACATGGATGTGATTATATTTATCCTGCTAGAGCCAGTGCTACAGCATTCTCAGTACTTGCGACTGCGACGGCGGATCTGTAAGAGCTCCATCCTCCAGTGGCCTGACAACCCCAAGGCAGAAGGCTTGTTTTGGCAAAGTCTGAAAAATGTAGTCTTAACTGAAAATGACTCACGATATAATAATCTGTATGTTGATTCCATTAGGTAATACTAACTGATGTTAAGCCATGTTTTGACACCATAATACAAATTCAAGGCAATGACCCTTCTCGCTTAGGTATCTATTACTGTGTAACAAGTTACCACACAACCTAGAGGCTTAAAACAACTCATGTTTGTGATCTCATAGTCCCTGGAAGTCAGGAGACCAGATGCAGCCTAACTGGGTCCTTTGTCACAAGGTATCTCAGAGGCAGCATTCCAAGAATTGGCCAGGGCCACAGACATCTCTGGGATTGGGACCCACTTTCAAGCTCACATCTATGTGGTCATTTTCAGGATTCAATTTCTTCTGGACTATTGACCAAACACTGCTCTCAGGTACCTGCCAGGTGGACCTCTCTCACAAAGCAGCAAGAGAGAGGGGTTGCTAGCGACATGAAATCATGTGTAATTAAGTGACATTAAATTATGTGTGATCTATTCAGGGAAATGATAACCCAATACTTGGACCATATTCTATTTGTTAAATGTCAACCACAGATCCCACCAGCTTCATGGGAATGACCACTGAAGTCCAGGGAAAACATCTGAACTGGTGGGACTGTGATCACCTAGTCTGTGGAAATCAGTCTATGACAGATCAGTGGTTGACTTAGACAATCATCAACAGTTTCCCCTGGACTACCATCCAGCCTGCCATCTTGGTCATAGACTGTGAATGCCAGGAGGTATGTATCATTGTGGCCTCTTAACAATCAGCCTACAACACCTGCTTTTTAATATATAAGAACTTATGGCACTGTTAATTAATGTTTCTGATTAGACTGATCATAAATTTTATGGCTACATGGTTATATTATGCTATGATTGAATTAGCCTTTCTTTTACAATAAGTTTTAGAGATATTGGCTATAATGTTTGACTTTTAAGGTTTAGATGTCATGTAAAGGCTGAAGTGGATAGGTTTTTAGTATCTTTTATTTCTTAACCATTTTTTTTTTTTTAGAAAAGTATGCATCTACATTGAAAACTTTTGGAGTATTTGTTAATTTCCCACTGCTGTAAATCTTAAGATGATTGATTAAACTTTCTTCATTTTATAAGACAAGTGTATGATATGTATATAATAGGGAAATTAAGCTATACTATAAAAGAAATTGTCACCTATGCTGGGTTTTTGAGAATTCTTTTTTGGAAAAAAATATCATCGGTAGAAATCAAAGGAAAAGCAGTTTTTATATTAAGATAATTGTTAATACAGAAATTAATTATTTCTTAATTTCACACTCAGAAAATATAAAATCAGATGTCTGTTGGTACCCTTTACACAATCTTCCCAAATAAAGTCATTTGGCTTCCTCACCACTTCTTCTAGCCCCATAGTTCCTGCACATCAGGTCATTGTACCCTCTATCCATTATGAATCTTGAATCAGCTTATGAAATCTACTTGAGAATAACTGGACCTTAACTAAGCATAAGAAAATAAAGTGCCTTCAGCATGAAAAGAAGAATCACCTCCATTGCATCATTCTTCCTAAAGTATAGGCTCTTTGTTAATCTTGCAGGATGAGTTATCTTTAAATGTGTATGTCTCAGCAATTGACCCAAACAGTATGTCATGATGTTATCTAATATGGACAAAGTAAAAATCAACACAAGTTTGCCAAAGATAATTTAATTTTGTCATATTGAACCCTATTTTGTTGCCATGGTAAGTTTTTAGGGAGATATTTATGGCTGTGCTTGTTGTGGCCTGGGGATAAAAATTTAAAAGGCAAGATTGAGTTGAATCTGTGGTGGTGCATGCCTACAATGCCAGCAACTTGGGAGACTGAGGCAGGAGGATCACAAGTTTGAGGCCAACCTTAGCAACTTAGTGAGGCCTTCCCTCAAAATAAAAATAAAAGGGATTGGCATTGTAGTTCAGTGGGAAAACACTCCTAGGTTCAACCTCCTGCATCAAAAAATAAAATAGAATAACAAAATAAAAAAAAATAAATGAAAGGCCCAATAATTCCATTGAACAGACAAGAATGATAAGGGGGCAGTTAGAGCCATCCCTCCACTTAGTCAGTTTGGACAACTATAATAAAATGTCAGAGACTGGGTGACTTACAAACTGTAGAAATTTGTTTCTCTTAGTTCTGAAGTTTGGAAAGCCAAGATCAGAGGGCCAACATTGTTGGGTTTGGTGAAGGTCCTCTTTTTGATTGTAGACTGCTGACTTCACCTTGTAACCTCACATGGTGCACAGAAGGTGAGAGAACACTCTGGGGTATCTAATATAACAACATTAATTTCATTCATGAGGGTTCTACCCTAGTGACATAATTACCTCCCAAGGGCCCCACCTCTGGTAACCATCACATTGAGGGTTAGGTTTTCAACTTATGAATTTAAGGGGATCCAAGCTGTCAGTCTGTGACATCTCTGTTGATACCATATTAATTTGTTTTCTGCTAGAGGTTCTTTCTTATGGTCTCTAATTATTTCAGTAAAATTAAAATGTCAATTTTTTTCAGTAGCATTGATAATTAAGAATCTATGTGAAGCTCATGTACTTTAGCAGTATTCTGCTAACAGAATCAAAAATTAATGAAAGTGATGCCACAATATCAGTGGTCTAAGACAACTGAAGTTTATTGTGTAACAGGTCTGGAAGATGAAAGTCTAAAATCAAGATGTCCACAGGGCCATGCTTCCTTTGAAATCTATAAGGAAGATCTTTCTCACCTCTTCTAGCTTCTGGTGTTTACCAACAGTCTACTGCATTCTTTAGGTTGAAGATGTATCACTCCAATCTCTGCCTCTGTTGTCACATGCGGTGCCCTCCCTCCATGTCTCTCTCCTCTTCTCCACCCTACTCCACTGTGATTTCATCTTAACTAATTACATTTGCAACCACTCTATTTCCAAATGAAGTCACATTCTGAAGAACTGGCAGTTAGAACTTCAACCTGTAATTTGGGGGTAATATAGTTTAACTCATAACAACCTCCATGGCTTTTCTTTTTATAAATTACTCAGAACTCCATGGAAATTTAAAATTCCTTTGTGAATGGGAGAGTCACTTATGATTGTTGGAAGAATAAAGGCAATTTCCTTGTTGATTATTAATAAAGTGATTTTAGTGTTATGGTAATATTTCCAATGTCATTATATTTGAACTTGAAGCCACTATAGTATCCATGATTTCCATGTTTTCATTTCTGACTGTGAGTGCTTTAAGCAAAAGAGGGAATTGGTAAAACTCCATATCTTACTGACAATCATGTTGTGTTCTTGATAGAACAAGGCAAGGGATAAGTTGTGTTTTGAATCTGAGGAGAACAATTCAGGATTTCCTGTGTCAATGACTTGAAATGAAAACCAGTCTTTATACATGTCCTTTCAGTGTGCAAAGGGCAGGGACTGGGATTTAAAATTCAACAGCTAATAGTCAGAAAAACAAAACCAAAAAAAAACTCACTTGTAATAGTAGAATGTTGCCATTGGAAAGTTTTTAAAAATATGAGCCATTTTTATTTCTTACGTGGAACACATTTCTAGAAGTGGAGAGAAAAGACTCATCTCTCATGTCCTCAGTCTTTCCCTCCTTTGAGATTATATTTGGACTATTTTGGGAAGAGCTCTCTCTGGTTATCTCATGATGATGCCACCAGAAATGCAAAGATGATGAAGAATCATGTGTGTATTTTCATGAAAGCCCCAAATGCAGTTGCTCATACCTGGAGCTCATTGTTGATGCTTCCTTCTTTCCCCCACAGCCAAGTATATATCAAACACATTTGATCTGACCTCCTAAATTCTTATTCCTTCTATACTCCACCTCCATCTCCATCAACACCCCCTTATCCAAGCCACTTGCATCTCTCACTGGTTTCCTGGTATCTACTTTAGTCCATTCAATTTAGTTCCAGCAGCTAGAGTGATTCTTGTAAAAGGTATGGCTTTTTCTGAATTCAGTTTTAAATCTGAATAAAACCACAAGGGCCCTCTGTGACTTCCATTCTCCTGCCCCTCCAGCCTCCTCTCTAAGCATCCTCACCTCTAGTCCTTAGTTTGTGCTGAGAACACACCCAACTCCCATTTCAGCACCTACTCATACTGTACTGCCCCGAGGGACCTCTTCCTCCAAACTTTACTTAGCTAATTCCTGCTTATCCTACAGGAAGAGGTTAAACGTCTTTAAGAGAAGTCAGTATATGAGCTGCAGTTGGAAGTGAGGTGGTCAGGAAGAGAAGTCAAAAGAGTTGGGAAGGGTATGAGTAAGCACACAGTCAAGAGAGACTGGAATAGAAAAGTCTCAATCAGCAAGGAAGGAACAGAAACTACTTCACAGCTAAAGAGCCCACAAAATACCTATGACCACTCTAGAAATTATTATTTGCGTGCTATATAATCAAATGAAGAGATGGAGAGGAGAAATAATAAAGATGATTGAGTGCAATATTCAAAAGAAAGTTGAAAATGTATTCCAGCATATTTATTCTTCTTCTATGAAGCATGTTTAAAAAATGCATTTCAGGGCTGGGGCTGGGGCTCAGTGGTAGCGCACTTGACTGGCATGTGTGAGGCACTGGGTTCAATTCTCAGCACCATGTAAAATAAATCAACAACTAAAAATTTTTTTTAATTTAAAAAATATTAAAAATGCATTTCAGCATATTGGTCCTTCTTTATGAAGAATGTTTAATTAAAATAAAATTTGCCTTAATAAACATACACACTAAAATACATTTAAATATTTTGCATACATTTTTGGTAAAATGTTGGAAATTTGTGTTTATATTCCTCCAAAAATCTTTTTCCCTATGTAGTCCCAAATAGATCTTCCTATACATTCCACTCACCAGGCACTGTGCTGGCCAGGGAGGACTCAAAGAGGAAAATCCAAGGTTCCTGAACTCCAGGAGTACAAATAATGTTGAGATAATCCTGGAAAGACTATAATGGAGAGTAATATTTGACTAGACTGGTAAGAATTTGGGGAAAAAAGACACGAATCAGAAATGTTTGGGGACAAAAATCCACACACCTTGGAGACTGAGTGGGTTCAAGGTAACACTAAAGGTTTTATCATAAAAGATTTAGAACAATGAAGAATCATTTTAGAAACAGACTAACCCAAGGAGAAATGGTCTTGATCTTTGATGAGTTGAT